TAACAGCCGGTCCAGGAACCCTCCAGAGGTGAATCCGCAACCTGGTAAGTAGATAATTCAAGGCTACAATTATCCACCTAAGAACACTAAATTGATTTTGCCTTCGATGTTGAATAGGATAAATAATTAACTATAACTCCAGTTCTAGTTAACCATCTATTCATTATCTGCAGGACATTATTTTTGCACAACACCCTCTTTGAAATAGCTAGCAGGGAATAGACATCAGGATTCCACTAAATGACTCTTGGTCATACTTGGTCATGAAAATATAATGAACAGATGAGGAACACATGAACACTAATGTTATATGTCTTTAAACCCTTTTGTGAAATAACACTTGTCCAAACTATAGCAACAGCTCAACACATATTCCTGTAGCATAGCCCAGCATGCCGTCCATTCTGTTAGCGTTGTCTTTACTCATCATTAAAAGACATATTGTTTGTTCTTTCCCTAATCATGCCAGACCTGCAAACCTTTTTGTCCATTTCCATTTGGAAGTTTGAGTTTCCATCCCGCTGGAGTTCAGCAGTCAGGGCAGCAACAACCAGGGGTTTCTTTGTCTCAGTCTTACAGCAGGGGTCTTCCTTGTCTCAGTCATTCATCAAGGTAGGCTCTCCAGTCTGGCTCAATAAGTTCTGAAACTCAAGAGAAATGTGTTGCAAAAGGTCCGTTTTGCAGCAGTTTGGTTCTTAAAGGTTACCACAATGACCCATCCTGGATGATTCTGGAGGTCTGGTTCCCCTCGGGCCCCGCATCTCTACTGTGGTGGAGAACCAGCCAAAGTGGACCCCAGCTTCATGGGCAAGGGAGAGGAGGCAAAGAGTGCACGAGGCAAAGAGAAGAATCTAGTTGTCTCTGTGGTTTTGTCTGTTCTTACAGAGAGGGTGGTTGGCAAGTCACACCTCTGTCAGAGGTCCTGTGGAGGCCTTGGCTGAAAAGGGTGTTGGGCTTTATTGCCACAATGGAGCCAAATCAATTTGATGACCCATTTCAAATCATTCCCCTTCCCTTTGCACAAAGAGAACATAGAACATTGACAAGAACGCAAACCACAGCAGGAAATACCCCTACGTCATTTAGGGTTTCAAACCCAGGGCCGAGATCAATCTCTCTCTTCCCCCTGGGTTTCAACACCTGTAAGGAGAGGCCCATTTCACGTGAAATGCTAAAACAAAGCTAAAGTCATGGATCTCAGTGTCCCATCGTGCATAGCCCCCGCTAAACTGGGTGAGACGGGGAATCTCCGGAGCTGAATGCTGTGTGGATTTTTCCCCCCTTTGTGAGGACCTCGCTACGGAAATCACAGCCTATCGGCAGGAGGACACTTCTGCTTTTGATAGCTGTAAATAAACCTTCCTCGACCTAAAGCCAATCAAGTTCCTCTGCTGTAGCGTCAGACTGATCTAAAACTCTTCCGAGAACGGACCCCCGGTGAGAAGGACCCGCCCAGAGCTGAGGCCGAACTGCGTGTCCCAGTCCTCTACCTGCTTCCTTCCCAGACTGGAAGACGTCTCAAAGTAGAACCCATCCACTTTTCTATTTGATGTTTTAAGGAGGTGCTGCGCTTGGGCGAGAGACAAGCAGATAGGAGAAACTTGAATTAATGCTGATTTTTAATCTGTGCTGGCTATAAGATTTCTGGTTTAAATGTTAAAATAAGTGTGCTGTGAAAAGTTGCAAGTGATAGTTTTTTCTTTCTATCCTGTTTTC